CTACGTTTTGTTTGAGAAGTTCTTACAGTACTAAGCTTTACACTTATGCCTATGACTCAGTTTTAGTTCATCTTTGTACGTGGTGGAAGGGGTGTATGTGGAAACCTAATTTTCTGGCATCGTCTGTGGAAGAGCCTTTCTTCACTGAATTGCCTTTAAGCCTGTTTTGAAAACACGCGTGGGTCTACCTATGAACACTGCTCAGTTCTGCTGACCAATGTGTGCTGCCTAAGCCCTACTGCATTGTCTTGGTGGCTGTGGCTTTATAGAAAGCCTTGAAATCAGGTACTGTGAGTCCTCCAACTTTTTTTTGTTTTCAAAATTATTTTGGTTATTCTACTTTCTTTGCCTTTCCATATAATTTTTGGAATAACCATGGCATTTTGCAAAAAAATTCCTTCTGTGGTTTTTATTAGGAGTGCACTGAATCTAGACAATTTGGAGGGAATTTACATCTTAACAATACTGAGTCATCCCAGCAATGAACACAGTATATCTCTTCATTTATTTAGATCCAATTCTTTCAACAGTGTTTGTTAATTTTAAGTATACAAAATGTGCACATATTTTTAGATTTATATCCAAATATTTCATGTTTTGGTTGCTACCATAAATAGTACTTTTACTATCCATTTCTAGTTGTTCATTGTTAGTATATACAAATACAAAAACCCCTCTTACTAAATGGATAATAGAGAAAACATGAAATATTTCTGACAGGTTAGGGTCATTGTGAAAGTAAACCCAGGATAGGATAAGAAGTTTTAATGATCTAAACAAGGGATGGGAACACATCTTCTGTAAAAGTCCAAGAGTAAATATTCTGGATTTTCAGGACATATGGTGTTTGTTGCAGCTATCCAACTACTGCTGTGGCTACTGTAGGAGCCATGGACAGCGCATGCATGAGCGAGTGTGCTGTTTTCCAGTGAAGTGTTACTTGACAAATGTAGGTGGTGAGCAGGGCTTGGCCTGTGGACCACAGCTGGCTGCCTCCTGACCTCCATGCAGCGGTGTTATGCTGGAATCTGGGGCTCTAAGTGCTGGTCCTTCTGCATGCTGGACAGTACAGGGCTGTGGGCGGATGTGACCAGCCTATTTGCTGTGACCTGAGATCAGATAGAGACTAACAAGCCAGGAGAGAGGAATGACTGAGACTCCTCAGTGCCAGGTAGAGCTCCAGGCGGTCAACTGTAGTCACAGATCCTGTGGACTGGACCCCATCGCTTCACTACACCCGTTACTGCCTGTCCCTTGGCACAGTTCCATGGAGTCACTCACAGGGGCACAGAGCACCGCCAAGTGCCCAGCTCAGGGTTGGAGGCTCAAGGCTTAGTCAAAACCACACTTACCTGTACAGAGAAAATAATCGAAGAGAAGGAAGGTGTGTGTGCGTGTGCACGTGTGCATGTGTGTGTGCATGTGCATGCATGTATGAAACTAGAGCCCTGGACTACCAGTGTTAGATTGCTCCTCCCACACTCCAGTGTTGGGGGAGATCAGGGCTCCCTGGAGGGGACAGGCAGCCAATGCTTTGGAACAAAGTGTGGGCTTGGCCTCACAGGATGGACTGGCTTTGGGTAAGCGCCTGTTTGCAGGTCAGCAGGACCAGCTGACTCCACACTTGGGGAGAGTGCCCACTGCATGCCAGACCCTGCAGTAGGTGCTGAGGACATACCCAGGACTAAGAAATGGGTTCTGTCCCCCAATGTCCTGATCCACTAAGCTGCTGTAATAAAACACCACAGATTGGTGGCTTGTAAACAGCAGAAACATCTCTCACAGCTGTGGAGGTTGGGATATCCAAGAAGAGACACCAGCAGATTTGGTGTCTGGTGAGGCTGCTCCCTGAGCCCTGGCGTGGTGGGAGGGGCGAGCAGCATCCTGGGGCCTCTTCTATTAGGGCACGGATCCCATTCATGGGGCTCCAGCTTCATGACTGAATCACCCCCAAAGGCTCCACCTCCGGGTACCCTCACATCGGGTGTTACAGCTTTAACATGAATTTGGGGGAACACTCACATTCAGGCCATAGCATGCAGTTCTCTGGGTTCTCAGAAGAACCCCGAGGGGACAGGTGAGTCGTAACTCTGTCCCTTTCAAACATGAGGCTTCCACAGAGGCTTCTTCCCCAGGACCCTATTCTGAGGAGTGACCAGTCACCCAGCCCCAGGAGTTGCCCCACTTTCTCCACCGCTCCTCTTGCTTCTGCAGCATGGACCAGCCACACCGTGCAGCAGACAGCCCGAGCCCTCTGTGTCTTGACACGACAGGAGTTCTTGCCCACACAGAATCCACAGTGCATCTGGGTGGCCGCTCGGGGCAACCATCTTCCAAGTGGCAGCCGGGCATTGCAGCCCACATGACCCCATTGGCCCCTCCACCTCTGAAGTGCTCCCAGCACTGCTGTGGGAGGAGAGAAAAGACTCACCCTCAGTGCTTCTGCCGAAAAGCAGCACACCCGCTGTTCACACGTGGCAGGCTGAAGCCCATGGGTGGGCCATGCCTGGGCAGGGAAGCAGGATCCCCCCCCAGGTCCAGCAAGGAAGGAGGGCTGGACCCGCTGAGCAGCGCTGGTTACGCCTTCCATGCTTCTGTCACCATAGTGACACTGAGGTTCATGACACAGATCAAGTCAGACCCGATGCATAAGCAATCTATCAAGTCATAAATATTGATATGTAAATGTACCAACTCTTTCTTATGAAAAGACATGTCTCTGTGGGTACATGTGTGACATTACACAGAAGATGATCTGTCCCTGCTGATGGCTGCCGGTCTCCTCTGGGGAGTGCACGGGCAGACAGGCTGGCAATTGTGACGTGTTCTTATCATCTGTCCATGTGGTCACTCATTTTTCTTCTGCCTGCGGCATTGTCCCCAGTTGATTGTCCTCTAAGTCTCTTGGGGAATAGACAATAATGTGTATTTGAACAGCACCTCTAACTTTCCAAAGCATATTCTGTTACTCAGTTTATCAGCACAAAACCTCCATGAGACAGGGAGGGCGTGGCAGATAGTGCTGGTGACCCTGGCCCACCTCTGGGCCACCCTGGCTGCAGGGGGTAGCTCCACCTGGAGCTCCCACGTCTGCAGGGCAGCTTTCTCTGGATCCACCTTCAGGGTAGCTTGGAAGAGCCTGGGATTAAGACCCCACAGGCGACCCTCGACCGTGAGTGATGGGAACCATGGGTAAACTGGTTCACACTCCACACAGGATGGAGCCCCTCATCCTGCGTCCATCGCAGCTCTTCCCCCGTCCTAACCTGAGCTCTGGTTTCACTCCTAGTTGGATCCCCTGCACCCCAGTCCTTGTCACGAGGTTAGGCGAGGCAACATTAATCCCATGTCATGGTCGAGAAAACACAAGCCCAGAGAAGTTGTAACTTGCCACCTATGGTGGTTCCCAGCTGGGGGCAATCTGCTCTGCAAGGGGCATTTGGTGGTGTCTGGAGACGTTTTTGTTCGGCCCCACGTGTCGGGGGTGCTGCTGGCACCTGGTGGGTGGAGCCCAGGGATGCTGCTTAACACCCTACGGTGCACAGAAAATGGCCCAGCTCCAAATGTCAGTGGTGCCGTGGTGGAGAAACCTGGGCCTAGTGTCATGGGGCAGCTTGGGGGTGGGTCCTGCAGTTAACGCCATGTAGACCTCAGAGTGCTCAGCAGCCTTCCCCAAGCTCAGCACAAAAATCGCAAGCAATGTAAAGTGGCTGATTGGGCCACTAAGCTTTGGGGTAGACTGTGATGCAGAGCCACAGGTGACCCACATACTCACCATTGCTCCCAAGAGGCACCAAGTGTCCTCAAATGGACACAAAGAGCTCCTGCCCAGCCTGTGCCCCACAAGATCCCTACCCGCAGCCAGAGTTCAGGGACGGTGAATGAATCAAGCTATTCAGGCTTATTTTTATTGGAAAATGTTCTCAACTGGAAAATTTTGGAAATAAAATGATGAAATGTATTCTATATTTGCTAATTATAAAAACACACGCAACACTGAAAGCAGTAATAGGCAACATTTAGTGCATCTGCTATGTGTCACGTACTTCTGACTCTGACAGAAGAATTCTGAAGTGGCTTCCTAGTTCCATTTAACAGATGAGGAAACTGAGGCACACAGCAAGGTTATACTGGCAAGTGGCACGGTTGGGGGTTCAAATCCATGCTGGAAACCACTATGCAACACTGCCTTTCGAAGTACGAGAAGTGAACAATTAAAATCGACACACAGGTGCGTTTCACAGTAGAAAGGGCACCAGTGGTCAAGGTGCAGCCATGGCCTCCTGCCACCTGTCAGGTCTCTTCTTGACCCCGCTCCTCTGCTGTCCCAGAGGCCCAGTTACCGACAGGACTCCTTGGGGCAACACCAAGACTCCAGATCATCTCATTCTGGATTCTCTGCCCATGACTACCATCAATCAGTGCACAAGGCCCAGACTGCAGGCTCCTCTCCCCAAGGAAACCCAGCAGGATCAGGTCTGAAGCACAGCACACATCACAACAGCTGCTGCACTGCCTTGGGAAACTGAACCTGAGTCTCAAAACCTTCACACTTAACTATGAACTGTCATTATCCTCTGAGAAGGTCCCTATATTCATGACACTTACAGGAAAACGGTTTTCTGGTAACATCCTCTTTGGATGAAGTGTTGTTCTCAAGGGGAAACTTGTCCACAGCTGTCTGCAATGGTGTCATGGGACTACACTAGCAGACCAGTTCAGAACATTGGTGAGTTAACTGTGCCAGACCAAACCAAAGTTCTTTGGATTTATGCAGATTGATTTCCCTGAGAGCACAACCACCACCCAGCTTCCTAGCACTGACAAATGGCAGCATTCCCCAAATGCGGAGATGTCCAATGCTTCCTATGGATACTGTAGATTCTTCTGCAAAACCACCAGTGTATTATTTTATTCCTTTGTATGTGTGTGTGTGTACACACTACTTCTTTCTGAAAACATCAACTTGCTCGTATAAAAAGCATTACTATGGAGTCTCATAGGGTGACAAACATATTTAATTGATCTCCAAAATACATTTGTATGTAAGCAAATTAAATTTTCCTTGAGTTTACAATGGCTATCCCCATCTTTCACTCTCACCCTGGAAGGTAGGGAATGTTGGGACAACAGGACTGCACCCGCGTCGAGAAGCTGTCGCACGGTGCCATCCAGACTTAACTCGGTCCTTTCTAAAGTGCCTGCATTCTGACGTCGGCGGACACCACCAGCCGTCCCTTCACACTGCCTGGTGACCTCCGGCTCTGGCACAGGCACAACTTGCAGGAAGGTACACACACAGGGGTGAGACAGCCGGGGGCCGAGCCGGCAGCACCTCAAGGCCGAGGGTCTCGGAGCACGCACGGTTCAGACTTCATCTCTCCTTGCACAGGCAAAGCCACTTCCGCGGGGCCTTCCCGTCCAGGCCGGGCTACATCTGCCTCTGCTTGTGCTTGGGGCTGGCGCTGCAGTACACGAACCAGCGGCCGCGCCGCTTCACCAGGCGGCAGTGGGCGCAGCGCCGCCTCAGCACGGCCTTGGTCTTGAAGCCCAGCGCGGGCGGCGGCGCCAGGCCGGGGGGCGGCCGCAGGGGCGCGGGGAGGGCCGCGGGGAGACCCAGGCGCAGCAGCGGGCGGGCCGCGGAGCTCAGCAGCCTGCTCAGCAGGAGAGAGGCCATGCTGCGATCGAGTCTGCGGGGACAGACGGAGGCGGGGGTCCCGGGCCGGGCCGCGCTCCGGCTACACCCGCCGGCCCTCCACGTGTGCCCAACCCAGGCCCCGGTCCCCGTCCGCCAGACCCCGACCCACGCCGGGGAGGGCAGCGACGCCTCCCCAGGGCCCGGCCAGGCCCTGCGGACCCCGCGAACTCGGGCCCCCTCCGCCGACGGGACCGCGAGCAGCGAGCCCCCCAGGGCCGCAGGACCCCCGCCCCACGCGCCGGCGAGGTGGGACCCGCGACCCCCTCGGGGAAACTGAAGCCAGGGGCTCCGGGGCGGCCGAACGCGCCATTCCGCTCCCCCCAGCCACAACCTCCACACCCCGCAGCCCCGGCCCTCGGGACAACCGGGACCCCTCACCTGGGAAGAAAGTGCTAGGCCTCCCGGCAACGCGCCCTCGCCACGCGCCGGCGCAGTAGGGCGGAGACGCCAGCGCCGGAAGCCGCCGCCAGGAAGAAAGATGGCGGCAGGATCACGTGGTATGCCCACCATCCGGAGTCGGAGACGGAGCCGCATGCGCGCTGGGGCCCGAGGCCGCCGCCTCCTACCCGGAAGTCCCCGCCCGCGCGCCTGCTGTTTAGGCGGCATGGCAGACGTTCTCGGTGAAAACATGCAGAAATGAGAACGAAAATAGATATCCGGAATGAAAAAGAAATCACTACCGACTAGACGTTAGAAGAAACTGACAAATACCAACGTCTGAACGGATTGTAGAAAGATCACATGTTATTATTAAGTGGGCATCTTGGGAGAAATATGAAGAAGCTCCTGGAAACGAGTGACAATAGACAATGTCCCTAGCTGGGTACAATCAAACTATCTTTTCCTCCCCTCCTACATTATGAAAAACCTACAGAAAAATGGAAAGAATTCTCCAGTGAACACCCGTATATCCACCACGCAGACTCTACAATTAAGTCGCTTACACCTGTGTTTTCAGGTACCTGTCCGTGACTCCACCCACCTCACCTGCCAGGTACCAGAAGGAGCTGCAGACACAGCCACATCCGCCCGCCCTCCCTGCCGTCCGCACTCGCTGAGCATCGCTAACTCAGCCCACATGTGCACCCGACCAGGTGAACGTGGGGCTCAGGAGTTTCAGCAGCTTCAAGACAAATATGTCCTGACCCACACGTTTGTGGGGACACCTTTCACTTTTCGGGAGGTTTTTTGAAATCTGCCTTCTTGTTTCCTACTGCCTTTCTCCCCTCTTTATCATGTCCCCGACCTCCCACCCATCCCTAGGTGTTTTGTTTTTGGTCCTCGGGCTCGGGCCACAGCAAAGAAAAGGCAGATGCTGGAGTGTGTCAAAGGGCAAAATCACAACAAATTGAAAGATCTCAATTGGCTTTATTGCAATTCTAGAGTCGGGCAACATTTCATTCGGTATAAGAGTAAGTTCGAATGAGCCGTGTAGATGAGGTTGGTTTTATAGAGAGAAAAGGCTGAAGAAAACAGAGACAAAAGCCAAAAATTGGTCATTTCAGTTACTTTCTTTGTAAGGTGGGGACAGGGAGACAGAACAATAGAAAAATAAGTGACTAGTTCTATCAGGTTCCTTTAGGCTTTCTCTTTTGTGTAAGGATCAAAGCAGCACCAAAGCAGTGAGAACTTCATTGTCATGCCATTGAAGATTTAAACTGGTCTGTTTGGGAAACTGACTGTTACTTCTCTTTCCTGATTTCTTGGTCAGACCACCACTTAGTTTAGGTTTGGTGAGGTGGAATTTAGCAGGGGTGACGCCATTTTAATTTTTAGTCTGGTTTTTGGGGCCTAGTGCAGGAACTTAGTCAAAAGCAATGGCCTCCTGTAATTTTTATTTTACAAGTGTCAAGCTGCAACTGAACCCAAGTTGGGTTGGATTACAAACCAGAATTGGTTCCCAAGCTGGCTCTAAATAAAATGGTCCATTTTAAAGTCTGTATTTGCATGCTGGATAAAATCAATTATAGCTTTGGTGCAGAAATCCCCCAAATAAGCTGTCCCCTGCAGCCACACACAGGAACACTGAGCATCCTGCATCGTGAACACACTTCCAGTTTCTTATGCTAAGCAACGGGGACTCCTTCATACAATAAAATCACCTTAAATGTCTCCTGATTATCGATTACCATAAGAATATAAACAATGTAGTTTTCATCTTCCCAGCCTTCTCCCAAATAAGAATCACCAGGGGGGCTGGCTGGTTAGCTCAGTTATAACGCGGTGTTACAACACCAAGGTCAAGGCTTCGGATGCCCATACCGCCTGGCCGCGGAAACAACAAACAAGAGTCTCCGGGCACCTACTAAGACTGCCCAGTTACCTGCCTCATCAGGCCCGAAACAGTATCTGCTCGGCCGACGGCGGAGCGCATGCGCACCCTGCGCCACGCCCCGCGCGCGCCTTCACAGGGCGAAATAAGTCCCGAAAGCGCGAGCCCCCGCAAGAAGCCGTGCGCATGCGTCGGCGCTCGAGCGACGGCGCACCGGGTCAAGGGTCGGCCGCGGAAGATGGCGGCTGCGGTGACCTTCCGCCGGCTCCTGGGCCTGCCTGGGGTGGCCAGGGGTTTCGGGGTGTGCGCCTCGCCGAGCGGGGAGAAGATTACGCACACCGGCCAGGTAACGGCCGCGGGTGGGTCGTGCTCTGTTGCATGCAAGGACGCTCCTGCGTGGGCGCCGCGACCTCGCGCGCCGGTGTCGCGTTCTCGGCGCGCTCCCGACGGCGGACCCAGCCCCCGCGCCGCAGCCTCCGGGGACGTGTCTGCGATCGTGCGTGGTGGCCCGGGGCCTGTGCTTTCCAATGGGCCGGGCGCGAGGAGCGCGGCCCCGGCCCGCTGCGCTGTCGGCGGCGGGACTGTGCCGCGTCACCCCCGTGTCCCCCCGCGTCCCGCCCGTGTCCCCACGTGTCCTCGGGCTGCCGCGCGCTGTGCGGACGGCGTGTGTTGCCCACGCCTGTCTGCCCGGTCACCGGGGCCTGAGAGTCAAGGACTCTCCCCTGTGATGCTTACACCCGACGCGAGGTCTCCTCTTGCAGAATGAGTAGAATCACGTGAAAGTCACGTGGGTCTTTTCCTCTTCCTTCTCTCAGGTTTATGATGACAAGGACTACAGGAAAATTCGGTTTTTAGGTCGTCAGAAAGAGGTGAGTATAAGGCTTTGGTAAAGAGAGGTGAGTTTTTGTACAACTCTTGTATAACCAACAGGAAGTAGAAACTAACGTGTAAGATTTAGATAGATTCTCCCCATATTGCAAGCTCCCTAGAGGCTCTGGAGTTCTGCATTTCTACTAAATGTTGATCGTGTCTGCCCCTTACTCCCGGAGATACATCACCTTTTGTGACTGTGTGTTGGGAAAATAGAATAGTTTGGTCAGGGCCCTCGCCTCGGTCCCGTTGGGTGTGGTTTAGCACATCCGTGAGTGAGTGAGTGAGTGAGAGAGAGAGAGTGTGTGTGTGTGTGAGTGTGTGTGTGTAGTTAGTGCACGTGCACGCCAGTGTATTTTTTTTTTTTTAGTTTCGTTGCTATTCTTGTGTTCTTCAGAGAGAGAGAGAGAGTTTTGGTAAAGCAGGCGGGCGGGTGTCTGCCTCGAGCGTCTGCCTGGCACAGCCATGCTCTCCAAACCTACGGCTTCCAAGGATCTTTGTCATAGACCTGTGTGAAGGGATCTGGGGACCCAGCCTGGCAAGTGAAGGGTTTGCGACCCGGTCTGTGAATGGGTTTGAGGGGTCTGTGGGCTCCAGACTCAGCCTTAGCTGGACAGTCGGCCCAGTCGGTGCAGGATTATCAGCAGGTTAAAGAGCCCAACAACTGGTGTGGTCTCCTAGCTTTACAATTGGCGTCACGAACAGGATAAAGAACTCTACACTGTGGTTCTGATTTATGTATAAATGGGACTGGTCTTTTTCCCATCTCTGTGTCTTATGCTCCTGAGGCTCTCAGACTAAAGTAAATCATATCAACTTTGAAATTACTTCTCTAATCACCGTTTGGGGTGTGCTTTTCATAGTTCTCAGCAAATAAATTAGGCCCTGTTTTTTACAGCAACTTGCACTGACAAGCTGAGAATGGCACATGAATTATTCTTTTCTGAGGGGGTCTAACTGCTCCACAAATTGTGAAGAAAGGTCATTTAGCTCAGACATCCTTGAGGGTGACCTTTGGAGAACAAGTGTTGAGTTCGGACTCCTTCTGCCTAAATAAGCTTGTCTTAACTGTTACCGAACTCAGGTCCAGCTGCCCGCCCCCTGGAGAAGGTAAGGAAAAAAAGAACTCAGAAGTCAAATGGTTGGCGTTAGAAAAGCAGTTGTATTCAGCTGAAGGAGTTGGTAGGCCATTCTATCTCAAAAGTTTAGATTAAGTGAGTGATATTTAAAGGAGGGGCTGAGGGAATGGAATGTGGGAGGTGAAAAGCAGGAAAGAAGGAGACAGGAGTTACAAGGGGTCCATGTGTGTAGTCAGGTACAGGGTCTTGCCCAAGGCCTCGTCTGGCTTCTGTTTTCATCTTTGCTGTCACCTCAAGACCCTGCAAGATTTTGATTTGCACTGGTATACTTGGCTCGTGCCCAAGGTCAGCTTTCAGTCACTTGGCCTTGATCATTTCTCAAAACTCTACAAGTCTCAAATAAAGAACTGTTAGCTTCACAGAGCTCTAATTAGCTTCTTGGCCTTGCTTTCCTACTTAGCGAGCAAGATAAGAAAGTCAGGGGATGGGAAGAAAGAGTGGAAAGAAAAAAACTATCCTTTTAAACCTCCCCCCTGCCCCCGACCCCACAGCAGCCCAGGTGGTTTTAGGTCCCAACATGGCTTCAGTCCTGTTCACTCCCAACGTTACCCCTCACTTCCTTCCTGTCACTTACATCTACCAGGTCCTGAATTCTCATTCAGGCATTCCTCCATGTTTGCTGAATTTGTTTTTGTCCACCACACCCACCTTAAATCACTCTGCCCACTTCACTCAACGTGCTGGCTCTTATTTTTACACATTAGTGGTCCCTAAATCATGGTTCCCCTTCCCCTTTGATCTTGGTTACATTGTCCATTCCCAGTGTTCGGACGGTATACTTCTATTCCAGAGCTACAGGGCATTCTAGGGAAGCTCACCTGGCCGTGAATTCGCTCATTATGAGTTCATGGTTTGAAAATTTGGCTGGTTTACTGCTGTGTGTCCAATGAATGGGTGGCAGAGAAGTTTGTATTCTGACTGTTGACTGACGGACTGGTAATGCTGCTTGAGTTTTGAGTTGAAAAGGATCCTGAGGCCTGCTCCAGGTTCAATGGAAGAATGTGTCTTGAGTAACGTCTGCCAGGAGGGTGGTACTGGAGAGGGCTTGTCTGCAGTGTGTTTGCCTCTGGCGGAGTGGAAGCCATGTGGATTTGCAGCTTGAGATGGAATTGCAGCATGGGTTACTGCCTCTGACATTCAGTTTTCTCATTTGTGAAATGGAAACTGAATATTTTTTATAGAATTTTAAGTCTCCAATAAGATGTAAATTGTCTAGTAAGGCTTAGCATGTGGTAAGTCCTCCTTCTTTCCATCCTCAGGACCCCTTTTTGTTTATTCTTTGAGTTGTTAGTATGTTTCCAGTAGTAGCACCTGTTCCATGTGCTCAGTGTACCCTCTAGCCTAGTGTTTCACAACAAGGAGCTCATGGCTTTTGGAATGGGACTGTTTCTTTTTCTGTGCTCAGATTGTGCACATGTGCATTCTCCTGAAAGTTAAGTTGTCTGGTTAGATGTGTGACCATGACATTTGGAATGTAGGAACCGATGGTTCTGAGAGGATTTGTGGGCTCTTTGGTTTTCATTTGGCAGTGAGGTTGTGGAGATGGGAAGGTTTCTCCCAGTGGAGGTGCCTTGTCTACTCTCAGGAGTGGCAGGACCACATCCCTGCTTTGTGGGTGTCGTGGTGTGGCGGCAGTGGTGGGTGGGGCAGTTCTGGAGCAGAAGGTCCTGCAGCCGTTGGGAGGCCCCTAACTCAGCTCTTGTAATGATTTAGCAAACGTGGGTCCTTGTCACAGATACCTCTCTGCTGAAAATTCTTTGTGTGGCTCTTGGTTTCTGGTTGGCAAAGTAAAGGTCAATGGGGGAACAAATTTAAAATAAAACAAATAAAATCAGAATTGGTGAAGCCAGTAAGGGTGAATGAACAGTTGTCTGTCCCTGGCCCTCAGCTGGTTTCATTTTCACTTTTTGGATATAAGCAGTTAGGCAGAAACACCAGAACACCAGGAGGCTGGGATCCATCGAATGTGGCTCTGTGCGTCCCTGCCGGGCCCCATGCCCTGTGCCAGGGTTACTTGACAGCCAGGGCTTTAACCTGTCACCACCCTCCCTGCCCGCGGGACGGATTCCCTCATCAGATGTCCGAACAGAGGCGGCTCACTCCCCCTGGACCCACAAATGTGGCCTGGACATCTTTATGACTTCCTCAGACACTGTTGGCAGGGGTGAGTCCAGTTGAGACGCTGTGGCTCACCTGCCTGGGCCATTTCTGCCTCTTGGTAGCAGCTTTAAGGTGCATGCCACCACCAGTTTTTGGACAGAGGTCACACAGCACTGATGTCTCCTTGACGTGCTGTGTTTGTTGCAGTGATGCCAGGGTTGTCCTTCCGAAAGATGCTGCAGGTTGTGTTAATGGAAGTAATCACTGCAAGCAGTGCTCAGGGGGGAGGGGAGGACTGCCGAGTTTTCACTGGCTTCTGGCCCCCCTGCCCCCCAAAATAGAAAACAAGTGTTGGTGAGGATGTAGAGAAACAGGAGCCCTGTGCGCTGCTGGTGGGGTGTGAAGTGGCGTGGCTGCTGTGGGGAGCAGCGCGGCAGCTCCTAGGGAGTGAGAAATGGAATTACTTTGGGATCCAGTGATCCCACTTGGGGTGTGTGCCCCAAAGAAGGGAGGCAGGGTCTCAGAGAGACATTGACACACCCGCGTTCACAGCAGCGTTACCCACAGTAGCCAGGGGTAGAATCAGCTCAGGTGTCCATCGGAAGGTGAAAGGATAAGCAAAGTGTGCTCCTCCACACAATGGAACCTTTGTTGGTTTTTTTTTTTTTTTGCGGGGGGGGGGGGGGGGGGGGGG